TAGAGTCTCATATAAAGGAGCTGGGATGATCTTAGATATCATCTCATTCAGCCTTTCATTTCATAAACTGAGCACGGACATGGGGAAGACACCAGCTCAAGGGCACACCACCCACCAAAGGCAAAGCTTAGGCTCAAACCCAGAACTCCTGACACCGGCTCTGAAACTCACAAACATGTGCAGAACTTCTGGGTGAGGATGCTCTAGGCTAGGGCATCGCCAGGTATCCCACACCCACTGTCACCCCTGGATCCTCAGAGGAGGCTGGGCTGCCAGAGTCTGAGCAAGCTACTCCCCCCCGCACCCCCAAAACCTGCTTCCCTGAAGCAGCCCCACTGGGTACTCACAGGGTGCCCGAGTACTGGCTGCCCCCAAGGAAGCCATACTTGTCCGTCTTCCGCAGGGCCAGCCCGTTTATCTCCGAGTCTGAGCCCATGGAGCTCGCATCATCCACCAAGGACTCCAAGGTCCCAGACATGAGGCTCACGGAGTCCAAGTAGCTCAGAGTGTCCGGGGCCGGCCCTCGAGGCCCAGAGATGCCAGGTCCCAGGCTGGACATGGAGCCTAGATCCTGAGAGTTTTCTGCAGGCTCTGGAGCAGGGGTCACCATCACAGTCGCGACCAGAGCCTCACTAGTCCCTGAAGGCCCTGTGCCAGACCCAGAGGGGTCCTCTGGAACCGGTCCTGTTGATGCCGATGGTGCAGCTCCATGTCCACTTGTCACCTGTCCTGCTGTCACTGCTGCAATCCGTGCAGTCACTCCTGAGGCCGCTGTGGTTCCCGGCTTGGGGGCAAGCGGGGGTTTGGCGGTCAGGGCTCCAGGAGCCGTTCTGGACGAGGTTCTGGTGGAGGTCCCGGTGGAGGTTCCTGGTCCAGAGGCGGGTGAGGTTCTAGTCTCCTCCGTCTTGGGAGAGTCTGCCCCTAGGGCGTGAGCCGTTGACGTCTGGTCTCCGATTACTGCCGCGGGCATCAGGCCCTCCGGGCCGGAGGAGACCTGCGCTTCGGGTGAGGCCTCCAGTGTTAGCATCACCACTGTGCTGCCCGTGACCGTCGGGGCCGGGGCTGAACAGGTATAGGCATACGTTACTGACTACAAAGTCTTCCACCAAGTATCCAACAAGATCCTGCAGAACTATACTCAATACATTTGGGGAAGCAAATGAGCGTTGTGCAGCTTGCTGCTGCTTTTGGAACTGTCTTGCTTTACAGAGCATTGTCACTGTGGGACTGAAACATATGGGAAAATTCTAATGGTGGCGCCTCACTCTCCTCCCTGTTTATTTGTTACTTCTGTTTCTAGCCTGCTTCAGGAGAGCGCGCAGCTGAGGGGAGAGGAACACAGAACTGCTAGCAGCTTGACTTCAAAGCAGCAGACAAAACACTTG